TGAGAGGTATGAAAAGGAAATTTCCCAGAGGATGTACCAAAAAGACAAAGAGATGGAAAATGGAAAAGATAAGAAAATTAAAGGATCAATCAAGAGGCCCAATATCTGACTGACAATTTTCTAGGGATTCCAGAGAAAGCAGAGGGGAGTTAATTATCAAAGAAATGAAGTGAGGATATTTCACACTGAAGGACATGAATCTCAGAATGAGAGGGCCCGATACAAATGAAAAAGAACCACCCTAAGGCATATCATCACAAAATATCAGAATACCAGGGATAAAGAGAAGATCCTAAAAGTTTTGGAGGTGGGAAGAACAGATTATATACACATCATCAGGAATCAGAATGGTTTCAGATACCTCTGTGGCAGCACTGGAAGCTAGAAGATGAGGGAGCCATGCCTTCAAAATTCTGGTGGAAAATTATTTCCAATCTACTATTCCATATATAGTCAAGGAAATTAGAAGTGAGCATAGAATAAAGACATTCTCAGACATGCAAAGATATAAAAATTTTACTTCCTATGTGCCCCTTTTTAGGAAGTGACTAGAAGATGTGTTTCACCAAAATGAGGTCATAGACCAAGATAGAAAAGAATTGCAAACCAGGAAGCAGGTTCTTCAACATAGTAGGACAGGTATGCAGCTGGTCTAGAAAGCAACCAGTCCCAAATTGAAAGGGAGGAGGAAAGGCTCCAGGAGGTGAATCACTAGGAAAACAAAAGTAGCTGATAGCTTATATGACTATGTGGACAAAGCATTTTACAGATCTGCTAGAATGTTTGAGGAGATTTAACAATATGTACATAGAATTGAGGGAAAAAGAGGCAATTATTAACTCCAGGAAAAACAAAAATATGTACAGAAAATAAATGTAATTATAGTATACCATTTGGTTCAGCAATGGACAATATAAAGTCATAAGAGTGTATAGCCTAAAAGAAAGAATGTAACCCCCAAATTTTAATTTAAGAATTTAGAAGTTGCGATAAAACTATATGAAAGGATGCAGAAAGGAAGTGGAGCTGGGTAGTGTAAGAGTTAATACTCATCTACTGTATTAGTGGTTGTGGAAGACATTAACTAGTGTTCACTAATATCTGGTTCTTCTTGCTTCTGGGCACATAGAAGACGGTATTTCTCAACCCCTTGTAGTTGGGTGGGGCCACATGACCAGTCCAGTCACTCAGCTTCAGGTGGAAATGCTGTGTTGCTGCTAGAATGTAGCTTAGATGATCCTGCAGCTGTCTCTTCTCCCTCTGTGGTGATTAAGGAGGTCTTGGGTTAAGACGGCAGAACCACAAGATTGAAACAGGCTGGCATTGCCTCATGGGATATAGTCCTAGAGACACTGAATGGACTCTGCAAGGATGAGAAATAAACCTTTATCGTGTGAAGCCACTGAGATTTTGGGATTATTTGTTACTGCCTGTAGCCTGGCTTAACTGATACAAACTTCAACATGTACTGTGTAAAACTGATAAATTAGGAAATGGCCATTTAAGCACATTATTTAGAATTATGGAGACAATTGCCAGAAGAATAAAAATATTAAAAGTGGTTGCCTCTGGGGAACAGGAAAGAGGAGTAAGGAACCTGTTTTCATTATAGTACTACATTACTTTTTTACACAATGTAATTGTATTACATTGGCAGAAGTAAAATTTTATAAAAAGCTGTGTGTGGGGTGCCTGAGTGGCTCAGTCGTTAAGCGTCTGCCTTCGGCTCAGGTCATGATCCCAGGGTCCTGGGATTGAGCCCCACATTGGGCTCCCTGCTCTGCGGGAAGCCTTCTTCTCCCTCCCCCGCTCCCCCTGCTTGGGTTCCCTCTCTTGCTGTGTCTCTCTCTCTCTGTCAAAAAAAAAAAAAAAAAAGGCAGCTCTGTGTGTGTGTGTGTGTGTGTGTGTTGAAAGGATTCCCACCAAACCACTGCAGTGGGTGTCCATAGCAGGGAGGGCATGCTAGACTGGACATCTGAGGAACTACGGGTGTGGCTGGACATGGAAGGTACTATGGGAATGGAGTCCACCCCAATGGAATGCCAGTCTGAGGAATTTGATTTCCAATCAGATGGCAATGGGGAGCCATGGAAGAATTGTAAGCAGTAGAGTATCCTGAGCAATCCTAGCAATCTGACTTACCTGGATGATGAATTGTTGGGGGGGAAGCTGCGTGGTCTCCGTGAGAGCTGATGAGACCTGGACTAAGACCTGCATACAACAAGTGTCTATCAAGGGCCTGTTGTTTGCCAGGCACTCCTGGTATGCCCAGCCACAGAGCAGGGAACAAGATGGACAGAGCCCCCTGCCTTTGGGGAGCATACATGGGCGAGAGAGGCAAATGGAGAGAAAAAAAGTATAAGTCAGGAGGTGGTTCATACTATAAAGAAAAATGAAGCAACTTAAGGAGACAGAGAGATGGTGGGGAGAGGGGTACTCTAGTTAGGGTGGCCAGGCGTGGCCTCCCTGAGGAGGTGACATTTGAATAGAGTCCTGAATTAAGGGAAGGAACAAGCCATGCAAAGTGTGGGGTTCCAGGCAGAAGGAACAGCAGTCTGGAGGACCTGAGGTGGGAATGGGCTTGATATGTCCAGGGCACAGCAAAGAGGCCAGTGGTGGGGCACGCTGGCGAGGCCCATCCGTCAAGGGGAAAGTTCTGGGGCCAATTCATGGAATACGGAGAGAACCTCAGGGAGCCACTAGTGGGTTGAAAGCAGGAGAGCGGCATGATTTGTCTGATTTGGCCAGGCTTGGCAGCGGTTTAGCTGGGGCTGGGTGGGTGGGGGTGGGCCGGTTTGTTAGGATCGGAGCCTCTGCGGCTCTGCCCAGCAGTCAGTGCGGTGCCTCTCAGCCCGCCTGGACCAGCGACAGCAGCTTCATCACCCACTTCCCAGCATCCCAGCCCCCTCTGGGAATTGAAGGATCCTCACAAATCAAAATAGCAGGCAAAGAACAGCCTCTAATTGTTCTGCGTAAAAGAGGCGAAATTAGACGAGTCAGCTGTGGGGTTGAGACCGCCTCCCACACAGCTGTGATCCCGCACCCCGCTGAAGACAGACTTCCCGAGACTTGAAATTCTGCTGTCTCCGAGCAAAACTTCTTGCTTCTCCAGCCCCAGGACCAATGACAGCTATTTGGGGAGGGAGTGAGACAGATGCTGGCCCTGGAGGACAATGAGTGAGTCAGACCAAAAAAAAAAAAAAAACAACAAAAACAAAAAAAACAAAAAACTTCCCTTCATGAAGGAATAGCCTTAGCTGGTATGAGTTCATTCAGTCATTCAAAACACATTGAGGGCACTCAGTGTGCATTCATCAGCTCTCATGGCAACACTGCACATCCCGGGTGCCCAGGGCTGGGTGTGGTAGCAGGGGGTTTCTAGAGGGGTAGAGGCATGCAGTGTGGTTCCACCCTGGGGGTAGAGTGGAGAGAGAGCACTGGTCTGGGAGTCAGGAGGTCTAAGTTCTTGCCTTGGCTCTGCCGCTGTCGCCGTGTGACCTTGGGTGAGTCATGCCACCTCCCTGGGCTTCAGTTTTCCTGTCTTTTCTCAATATGGGCTTTAGGCCACATAGTGTTTCTCAAACTTTAGAGCCCATAAGAATCATTTGGGGGTAGTGCTTGTTAAAGATGAAGATTTCTAGGGCACCTGGATGGCTCAGTCGGTAGAGCATGCGACTCTTGATCTCAGGGTCATGAGTTCAAGCCCCATGTTGGGCCTTGAGCTTACTACAAAAAAAAAAAAAAAAAAAAAAAAAAAGACGATTCCCAGGACTGGTTGTCAAAGATTAAGATTTAGTAGGTCTGGGGTGGGGTCTAAGAATCTGCTGTTCCAGGAGTTCTGAAGGGAGTCCTTGGACCACACTTCCATAAAATCACTTTCCCTCAATCTCTCAGGGCTCCTTCTGCTCTGAAATTTGAGGAGTTGCTTACGCAACCCTTCTTTCTCTGGGTGTCTCGCATCATTCTAGGGGCATGAAAGAAGTCCTTATCCCTGCCTTGATGTACCTGTGTGTTTCTGCAGTGATCACACTGCACTGGGACAGTGTGTCCCAGTGTACGCAGCCTCCTCCAGGCTGTCCGCTGCCCAGCACAGGCCCTGGTACAAAGGGGGCCATGATGGAAATGGTGGCCGAACAAGGGGCCTGTGTGGTGCAGGTAGCCACAGAGCAGTGTCGAGCATGGAGGGGTGTTTCAGGTGCAGGAGGGCTCAGTTGCAGACCTCTGGCTTGGATACCTGGGCTCATGCCCTGGGTTGGATGTATAGGTGGGTCCAGCTGCTTGGGGATAAGAAGGTCTGGAGGGGACCACAGGAAGGACTGGGAGTCCTGGTCCACCGCAGAGGGCACCCCAGGAGGTGTAAGGCCCCAGCCAGTCTGCTAGGCAGAACCCCTTCCTCAGAGCTGGCCAGTCATATTTCCAAAAGGTCAGTGGCAGAAGCCAGAGGGTCAGGTCACTCTTGTCTAGTCCCCAGCTTCATCCTTCATAGATGAAGAATAACTATCATATACTGAACACTTGCCGTGCTTTGAGCTCAGGGCTAAGTGCTATATCATCCCATTACATTTCACAAAAACCATACGAGGTTAGTAAAACATCACTCCCCCCCGCCCCTTTTTTTACAGTTACAGGCACAGAGGCTTAGAGAGTTCACGTTACTAGCCCAGAGTCCTTCAGTTAATAAATAGTAGAAGTGGGGTTAGAACCTAGACCTGTTTTCCTCTGGAGCCCAGTTTTATTTTTAACCATGTTACTTAGTACCCCTCAGAAGATGAAGGGCTTTTCCTAAAATACCTTCTGCCAAAGTCAGCCACAGCCAGAGAAATCCTTTTGCATCTGCTGTAGTGAAAAGGGGTGATGCTGAGTCAGGTGGTTCAGGGTTCTCCTCCCACCTCTGCCCCTGACCTTTTGCATGACCTTGGGCAAATCATTTCCCTCTCTGAGTCTTAAGTGAAACTGAAATCTGTGAAATGGGAACAATTACACGCACACTTGTTTTGAAGGTACACTAAGATGAAGACAGCCACCAACATCTACATCTTCAACCTGGCCTTGGCAGATGCACTGGCCACCAGCACGCTGCCCTTCCAGAGTGCCAAGTACCTGATGGAGACATGGCCCTTCGGGGAACTGCTCTGCAAGGCTGTGCTCTCCATTGACTACTACAATATGTTCACCAGCATCTTCACCCTCACCATGATGAGTGTTGACCGCTATATTGCCGTCTGTCACCCCGTCAAGGCCCTGGACTTCCGCACACCCGCCAAGGCCAAGCTGATCAACATCTGCATCTGGGTCCTGGCCTCGGGTGTGGGTGTCCCCATCATGGTCATGGCTGTGACCCGCCCCCGGGGTGAGTGAGGGCAGAAGTTGTGGTCCAGGGCCACTGACCACAGGAGGCAGCATGGGGGCCCCTGTGGGTTTGTAGGCCACTTGCTAGAGTAGGTGTGGGTGGTCCACACTGGTAGAGGTGTGGATTCCTGATCAATGAAAAGTGTGGCTGGCTGGCCAGTGAGAGTGTGGGGAGTCAGCCAATGGAATGTGAATGGTTGACTGTTGTGAGGATGAATGATTCATCAGTGGTCAGATGGGTTGCTGGCCAAAGGAAATGTATGAATGAGATTGTGGAGGGTTGGGCTGTGGGCGTAGCTGCTGGCCAGGAGTTTGTGGATGACTGACTCAAGGGGATATAGATGGATGGCCAGTGGGGCGAGGGTGTCACTGACCAGTGAGTCATGGAGGCCATAAGAGCTGCAGTCTCATCCCAAATGCCCTTCCACCCCAGTGTAAAAACCACTGGCCCAGATGACCAAGGCAAGCCTTAGAGAATATCCTGCAGAGGACGACAGGTGCATTTGCTCAGAGTAAGAATGGTCGTTAATATAGTAGCTACCTGTATCAGTCAGGGTAGCAGCTGTAACAAGCAATCTCCAGAGTTCAGTGCTGAACAGTACAGAGGTTTATTTCTCACTCACAGTCTAACGTGAGTCAGAGGAGAAGCTCGATTCCACAGTTCTTCAGGGACCCGGGTGCCAAACGATGGTTTTGGAATCTTCCACCGCTGGCATTTGGCCAGCAGATGAGTACAGAGAAGGAGTGATGAGAGAGCATGACCAACTTTGAAATGTTATGGCCCATCCCTTCCTAGTGATAACTGGTTACATGGCCCCACCTTGACATAAGGAAGTGGGACAGGGAGTTTAGCAGGGTGCCAATGACACTCTCTGAGCCACAGTGTATCATGGGGCATTGAGAAGTTTACAGGAGGCTAAATGTGTAAAATACTTAGGACAAGGCAGGGATGCCTACCTCTGTTTGACCGTAAGAACATCCAGAATCAGAGAGGTCAGGCGGTTTACTTAGGGTCATGTGGCAGGCATTGGCGGAATTTGGCCTACAACCCAAGGCTCCTGCCCTCATGTCTGTTACTCCTATTGGCCCCTGAGGAGGAGGTTTGCAGAGGGTCGGTGCTGTGGGTTGAAGGGGAATAGGCTTGGTGGGAGGCCTTTTGACCACCCTTAACCCCCACGGAGGTAGAGCGCCTGTGCTCTCATATAGCTTCTGTGCAATTGGTCTTGACTCAGCAGCTGGGCCCCATTCCACACTGTCAGCCTTCAGTTTTTTGGGCCATTAACTGCAGCCCTGCTGGGGGCCAGACCAGATAGGTCTCCTCACTCCACACTCCATCCCCTATACACACTCCCCCACTCAGCACTTGTTGGTTCTGTATGTAACTTGCCATGTGACCTTGGACAAATGCTGGTCCTCTCTTGAGCCTTGTTCTGGCATCTGCACAATGAAGTCCTTGGACTCAGCCCTGGGGGTCTTGCCATCCTGCTGTCTGGTGGACCCACTCTGTGGATCCCCAGTACCCTTCCTACAACTCTCAGGCTCCAAGTCCACTGTGTGGCTCCCTCAAAACCCGAAGTTCCAGGTCAGTTGCAGGTCTGTGTCTGAATCCCAAAACATCCCTAAAGTGCTCATCCAGCCCACACCCACACTCCAGGAACAGGGAACTCATTCCATCCTGGGTGCACCTCTGGACCAATCTGGCAGTCAGGAAGTTCTTCTTGCCATTAAGCTGAGATCTGTCTCCCTGACCCTAGCCCTGACTTTTGGACTCCTAAATGTATCTGCCTCTCTGTCCTGTGAGTGCACCAAGAGCTTGAACCCCCCTGTGCTAAGTGTTTCACATGCCTTAGCCCATTGAATCCTCACAACCCTGTGAGGTTTAGGTACTGTTATTAGTCCCACTTAATGGAAGTTCTCCTGGAGGCTGAATAATTTGCCCAGGGCCACACCCCACAGTTAGCAGGGCCCAAGTTTTGCTCTTAACTCATCATGCTTTCTAGATCTGTCTCAGCAGTGTTGTCCTCATTGGAGCTAGTCTGGAAATGGGTAGGGTGTTTTGAGTTCTCACAATGACTGGCATTTGGTGGGCTTGGGCTAAATTATATCATTACTGCTGTCCATGGATGTAGAGGCTTCTAAAGGGACTGGAAGAAAATATAGAAAGGAGACCTCCTGGATTAGGGCCAATCCTGCTGGGGTCTTTAAGGATGAGTAGGAGTTCACCAAGTACAGAAGTGTAGGAGGACATTCTGGGCAGAAGAATCACCTTGAACAAAGGCCAGAAGGAGGTGTGGTACCTGACCAAGCCAAGAAGGGTGGTGAGCAGGCAGGGTCACCTAGGTCCACACGCTCCTCACCTGCTGTCTCTCCTTGTTTCCCCGGCAGACGGGGCAGTGGTGTGCATGCTCCAGTTCCCCAGCCCTAGCTGGTACTGGGATACGGTGACCAAGATCTGCGTGTTCCTCTTGGCCTTCGTCGTGCCCATTCTCATCATCACCGTGTGCTACGGCCTGATGCTGCTGCGCCTGCGCAGCGTGCGCCTGCTGTCGGGCTCCAAGGAGAAGGACCGCAGCCTGCGGCGCATCACGCGCATGGTGCTGGTGGTGGTGGGCGCCTTCGTGGTGTGCTGGGCGCCCATCCACATCTTCGTCATCGTCTGGACGCTGGTGGACATCGACCGCCGCGACCCGCTCGTGGTGGCCGCGCTGCACCTGTGCATCGCGCTCGGCTACGCCAACAGCAGCCTCAACCCCGTGCTCTACGCCTTCCTCGACGAGAACTTCAAGCGCTGCTTCCGCCAGCTCTGCCGCACGCCCTGCGGCCGCCCGGAGCCCGGCAGCTTCAGCCGCGCCCGCGAGACCACGGCCCGCGAACGGGTCACCGCCTGCACCCCGTCCGACGGTCCCGGCGGGGGGGCCGCCGCCTAAGCCGCGCCGGCCCGGCGCGCCGCGCGCTCCTCCGGGGTGACCTGGCCGTCACCCGGGCCCGCAGGGGGCGGGGCCGCGACGCGGAATGGGGCCGAAGGGGCCTCTGGCTTGGAGAAGGGGGTCGGGCTGGAGCCCAGGCGGGGGCCGAGAGGCGGGGCCCCTGCATTGGGGTGGGCCTCTGGGCTGGGGCGGGGCGAGGGGCGGGCCGGGGGCGGGGCCTCTGGGCTGAGGGCGCGGCCGGCGGCTTTGGGTCGGGTGCGGGGAGCTAGCGACTCTCGGGGAGTGAGGCCTGTGGCTCTGGGACCGGGCCGCTGAAAGGGACCTCTGCGGCGGGCCTCAACCTTGGGACAGCCTCGGGTTCTAGCCAGAGCCGGCCTTGCTGGCCTGGGACCCAGGACCCAGGGGGCCTTGGTGGAGACCGAGGCTTGAGAACAGGGCTGCAAGACTGGGTCTCTGTGTGGTGGGGAGAGGCCTCTTCTGGGGGCAAAAGAGAAGGACAGGGGATGGTGGCCTCAACCTTGGGGTAGAGTCCCAGCCCCGAGTTCTAGCAAGAGGCGAGGTTGCCGAGGTCCAAGGTCCAACTGGACTGTCGTTATAAATAAAGAGAAAAAAAATCCAGAGGGAGAGAGAAACAATATGCCTTTTCTGTCCTTGACAGTCATTTTCTTGGAATGGCCTCAGCATCGATGTAGTGTCCCCAGCACTTTGTCAGTGGGGCTTGGGACAGGACGGTGGAGCAGGGCCAGTGCCTTCAGGCGAGGGTAGCAGGACAGGATCTCAGTTGGGGTAGGGGTTCTGTGGGGCTCAGAAGGAGGAGGTGCCAGTCGGCCTCTGTGCCAAGGATGGTGGGTGGGCAGAGGCAGAGGCGAGGCTGGGGAACTTCTGCTTAGACATTAGGTCCTCGAGCCGGAGGGCAGATGCTTTTGGGGGTCCCGACTTATCTGCCCAGGTACTGGAGGACAGAGGACAATGCTAGTGAGAGCCCCATGGATGGTAAGTGGCAACTGGGACTGGGTGGGGGCATCTGAAGGACCAGTGTGGACTTTTCCTCCTGCCCATCTTGGGTCTCTGATAAGAACCTCTAGGAAATCCTCTTCCTTCTCCCAACACGTGGCTGTGCCCAGTGTATCCGGTGTTTCCAAGCAGCTGGAACTGCCCACACAGGGGCCTGTCTCTGATGGAACTGGGAGGAAGAAGGCTTTCCTAACTGCAGTGCTAGCGTCCATGTGTGTCCCTCAGGCCCCACTGCCCTGCTGCCCCCTTCCAGCTGCTGAGGGCAGGTCGTCCCAGAGCGAGGCATAGGAGTTTCTCTCTTCATGTGTTTGGCATTTTATTCAGGCATTCCCAGATCGTTGCTTTCCTATCAGGGTCTGTCCTTGTTCCCTGTGCCTCCCCCGTGCTTCACCTCCTCTCCCCGCCCCTTCCCCCCACAGACACTGCCTCAGTCCCACACCCCTGACTCCCTATTGAAGCAGTGAGCTGACATCCTTGTAGAAACAAATTAATTTTCTTCCCTTTTTGGGACAGATGGAGAGAAACTGACGTCTTTGTCTCAAACCAAAAAAAAAAAAAAAAAAAGATACCTCTTTTCCCTTTGACAGTCACTTCCTTGGAACAAAAGCCGTTCCCTTGTCGAGGAGACTCTCACTCCAGCAGGGGCTGAACTAGCATTCAGGAGGTTGGGGGCTTAGGCACCAGGATGGGCGTTGGGCACATTAAGGGTAGAACTACCCTTAGTTGACAAAGCACAGCCCCCTTCTCAGGGTACGGACCCCAGAAGCTCCAGACCTAGGAATTTTCTTCCTCCAGGAAATGGCTTCAGTAGCACTTTGGAAGATGCAGAGCAGTGCCAGTGCCCCTAGAGACTTCTGTGTCTGAATGGGAGGGGAGTGTGTCAGCAAGGCAGGGACCCTCCTGGACACTCCTGATCATGTGGGACCCCTCCTGCTAATGCCTTGGAGAGATGTCAGAGAGAGGAGACAATTTAGGGATGGGGGGATGGGGAGACTTCTGAAGAAGGTGACATTGGACCCAGAGCTGTTGATTCTCCCCGCAAGGACTGTGTCCCCTTCAACTCTCTCAAGGCTGCTCTGGGTTTGCTCACTGCCATTTCCCATGGCTATAACAGATCTGGCTGCTTTTTTACTACTTCTCATACATAAATGTGTCCTGGGGTCTGCAGAGGCTGGGTCCAGACCACGTGCATTTAAGGTAAAGCAAACTTGTACCAAAATCAACTTGATGCCAGGCTGTGCACCCCAGGGATTGGGACTTGGATATAAGTCAGATACAGCCTGGCCCTCAGAAAGTTCAAGCCCAGGCTGGGAGACAAGGCATCAACAGAGCATTGCATCTCAGTGTCATGGGGAAGTGTCTTTTCTAGCTTTTTACTAAGACACATTTGTAGCAATTCTAGAAGAGTTGGAAAAGCGTCAGAGGGCCTTAAAGGACGTGTAGGAGTTGGCCGCCAAGAAGAGGGAACAGCGTGTGCAAAAGCATGGAAATGTTGAGGTGCTTGGCAAACCCGAGAAAAGCTGTGTGCATCTCGAGTATGGGGCTTAACTGAGCACTTTCGAGTGCCAGGCTCTGTGCCAAGCGCTTCACACACATCATGCCATCTGAGCCTCATGACAGCCCAGGAGAGGTACTGTTACCCTTATTTTAGACAACAGGCTCAGAGGTCAAGTCACTCATTCCTAAGTCGCAGAGCCTGTTGGTGGCAGCAGAACTCAGGTCAGTAGGACTCCAGGGTCTGAGTTTCTGGTGAATTCTGGGCATCAGTGATATAGAAGAGCCTTAGTTGCTGGAACCCCGGAATGAGGATTTCTGAAGACTTAAAACCAAATGGAAAACTCTGAAGGAAAAGGGCAATTTTCCATGAACTTTTGTTCCTCCTGAAGCTCTCCAAACCTTCACATTTCAAAAAGTACTGTGCACGATGCATTTTGAAGTTCCAAATTGACAGTATAATTCTAGATCATTACAGGGCTCTCAAAACTGTGAAGTAGGTCTGATTCCTCCCCCCCCCCCACCCCCCAGGTTTCCACTCCTCTATCTTCAGGAGGTGGAGGCAAGTTTTTGCCTCTGGTTTCAAAATGTCCTACAATTTCCTATCTTTTCTTGTGGTGACAGAGATAGAGGTGAAAGTTGGAGTCAGATTTTGGCTTTCCCTCGCGGTGCCTCCGTTTCCTTATCTGTAGAACAGACTTCATTCATGGGGCTGCTGTGAGGACTTCATGAGTTAATGTACAGATAGGGTCCCGATCATAGGTAATCTCTTAGCACATGGCGAGTAGTTGCCATTACTCAGGAGTGGTGCTGCAGAACAAGGTCGGAAAAGCAGATGAACTTTCAGGGGCAGCAATGCAGAGAGAAGAGACCGGGGACCCAGCCTGGGGATCCCCCCTGCTTTCTAGGCACAGGAGCCACGGCGAGGCGCAGAGAGTGAGAAGCTGCTGGAGAAGCAAGAGGAGGATGGGGAGGATGTGCTGCCATAGAAACTGGAGGAGGAGGGCGTTCCCAGGGAGAGGGAGTGATGGATAATGTCAAGTGTCATATAAAAGAGGTTGGAGGTGGGGAGGGCAGGAGGGTGATGGGAATAAAGCAGAGTCTTCAAGTTCAGTTTCCTACATGGCTTGGAAAGCCCCAAATCTGGATTCAAATCTCAGCGCTGAAGCTAAGTGGCTGGGTGGCCCAGGCGAGGCAGTTGCCCTCTCTGAGCTTCTGTTTTCTCTTAGATCTAAGACAAGGGAATGGGTCAGTCTCTGATGTTTTGTCTCTAACAAAGAGTCCTGATTCTGCTGGGTTCTTGGCGGCTTGCTTGCAGTGAGATCTTAGGCAGGTCACTTCACCTCCAAGAATCCCATCTGAAGGCTAGAGATACGGCAAGGGAGGTGCCTACCAAAGTGGCTGGCACATAGTAGGCCCCCAGTCCAGAATTATTCTGTGCCAGTGGTGGGGAGTGAGAGGCAGTGGTCTAAGGAGGCTTGCTTAGCTTGGAATTTGAAATGTCCCTCTAGGTGGAGGAAGCCACCAGCATCTGGAGAGGACTTGGAGGAACCACAGTCCAGGCTAGGCCCCCACTAGGCCTCTGCCCAAAGACCAGCCCGTCTGTTTTCAGCGGCAGATCCTTAGCCTGGCCTCCGGCTGCCTTCCCCAGCTGGACCTACTGCAGATCCAGGCTGGGAACCAGCTCAGAGGCTTCAGAGCCCCTGGGAAGTAACCCCCGCCGCACACCCCCACCCCCCAGGTCCCGGCGCTCACACACAAAACACTACACGCATATTTCTTTTATCACTTATTTATTATTACATATTCCTTTATTTCATTCCTGGGCGCTGAGCATATAGTGCGGGCAGCTCCGGGGAGGGAGCCCAGCTCTGAGCTTACAGATGCTGGGAGTCCGGAGGAGACTGGCGTGTGGTTCTGGCGGCAGGCAGCTGGGGAGTTCAAAATGGGGCCCGGAGGGGCTGGGGAGAGCCTTCCCTTATCCTAACGTGGCAGAGCGCTGGACCAGGGGGTGGCCCAGGTGCCAACCCCATCCCTGGCGCTGGCCATGAGCCCCACCCGGTGCAGGGTGCTCTCCTGCCACCCTCGGTGAGAGGCCAGTGTGGTAATACTAGTCCGTGATATACAGCAGCCCTCTTTGTTCGAAGCACTTGACATGGGTAATTCACTTAATCTTCACAGCACGACTACGAGGTAGGCACTACAATAATTATTACCTGAGGATCCCGAGGCTCAGGGGAATGGCCTGCCCAAGGCCAGACAGCTTGTCCATGGCTGCACCAGCCAGGAGCCCATCTTAGATCTGTCAAGTCCACTTCCTCTGCTCTCCTCCTCCTGCTCCCACGAGGGAACTGAGGACACAGAGGGCACCGGGGAGACTCGCACCCAGCTCATAGTCCCGGATGGAGCCTCCCCGGTGCTGGGTTCTGTGCCTCATCACCTCGACGGCAGAGGCGCATGCCAGCCTCCCAAGAAACTGCCGTGACCTTGGCGGGTCCCTCTCGCCATCCACTCCCTCCCTGCCTCGGAAGGCTTGCTTGTTCTATCATTTTTCAGCTGCCTGCCTAGGACCTTGGGCGAGTCACTTCACTCTTGGGGCCCCTTTTCTCAGTCGTGGATGACACCACTTACAAGAAGTCGTGGCGATTCACAAAAAGGCTCATCTGTTTTGGTCACACAAATGTTCCCAGCAAATGGCACTGCAGCCGGCACACTCCACCGAGTGGATGGATGACGTGCCTGGTGCACAGTAAATGCTCGAAACGTGGGGCTTTTAATGTGATCGAACCTTTGAGGTTATACCTGCTCTGACCCACATCTCTTACTGCTGTAGGTGGGTCAGGAGCCAGGGACTTTGCCTTTTAACATCTCCTTGAGTTTCAGAAGATGGGACAGCATGCGTTGGAGAAGGAATTTTCAAGAGGACGTCTTCTCTCCAAGTACTTTATACATAGCTTTCCTCTTTTGTCCTCACCAAGCCTGCCCTCCCTGGCACCCAAGAGAGGGGCCCAGTCCAGAAGGAAAGAATGATCCCTGGGTGGCACTGGCCTGGGCCTTCTGGCCAGAACGTTTGAGTCATGGGGATGGAGTCCCTTGGCAGGTGTCAATGCAGGTGACATCCACCTGATGGGGCTCATCTTCCAGAATCTCCCCTTGGGAATGAATAAGTCCCAAGCCAGGAGACGGAATATGGGTTTGACTCTGTCCTCCACTTCCTTGCTTTGTGACTTTGGACAGGTCTCTGTCCCTCTCTGGGCCTCTGCACAATGGAGGGACAGAGGTTGGAGTTGATGGGTTCTGAAGGTTCTGCCATCCTGGGAGAGAACACAGATGTTTCCCTCATGTTCCTTGATCCCAGAAACAGACACCTACCGGTAAGACCCACTGGGCATTTGCCCAGAGGCAGAGGAAAGGGTGCCTGGGGGTCTGGTATTTGTAATTGGAGCTGTCCTACTTTGGGGATGAGGGAGGCAAGCATGTCAAAACGAAGCTTGACTCAAACACCTGGCTTTTTGCCTATCCCAGGTCCTATCTTGGTACCAAGGACCAACCTTCTGATTTCCCAATAAAGAAAAACACTATTCTCGGTGTCCACATCTCTGCTGTTTCCTTTGCTTACCTTCTGTGGTCTCCTCATGGGGGTGGGGGGCCTAGTCTGGGGGTAAGACAGACCTGGCTGCTCGCACTGGATGGGTAGTCTAGCCCCACCTTTGGGACTGTCTCAGAGGGAGATGCAATCCTGTCCTTAAGAACCCTCTCTGGGGCGCCCGGATGGCTCAGTCGGTAGAGCAGGCGATTCTTGATCTCAGGGCTGTAAATTTGGGCCCTGAATTGGGTGTAGAGATTACTTAAAAATAAAATCTTAAAAAACAAACCCATCCGACGGGAGACACACACAAGGCAGCTGTAGCCACTTCCTAGAGCATGCCCCAAACCAAAGCTGGCTTCTAGAAGCCCCTCTCCCCCAACCCTCCAAATTGGCTCCTCCTTCTCTGTGGCCCACCCCCAATCTCAGTCCCTTGTCCTCCAGAGCCCTGCCCACCCCATGTGCCTCTTGGGGCTCCCACTACCTCCCCCCTCCTTTTCCCCTCCCCCCTACTCCGTCCTCCGTTCCATGCTCCTGCCCCACAGTGGCCCTTCTTTTGGTGATTGAAGCCCCAGACCTCCTCTGGGTGCATTGAGGGAAGCCCTGGGTGTGGGGTTGGATGCCCCAAGAGACCTCCACCCTCTCTGGGTTCCCCTCCTCAGTGGTTGCTGGTCCTCAGGGTTAATAAGTAATTCTCTGGAAGGGAAGTTCCTGACCCAGGATCTGCCTCCCCACCAGCTGTGGCCAGGTCTTTAAGAGGGCATCAGGGCCCGGAGCCCCTCTTCCCCTTCTGACGCAACCTCCCTTCAGAGACCCTTAGCCTCTCCTGGCCGGGGCTGCCCGCTCTGGGGCCAGATGTGTCAAGGTACTGAGCACCAATGCGGGTGGGCTGCCCTGACCCGGACTGAGATCTCAACCCCCCTCGGCTGCAGACTGTTTGGGCGGGAGCATGGGCAGGGTGCTTGACGGCCTGGCCTCACCTTACTCACAGGGAGGGGCTCAGGTGAAGACTTCCCAGAGGTCTGGCAGCTCTGCCCAGAGCTTACTCCCCCTGAGGCTGGGAAGAACAGCTCCGAAGGGTGTGTGTGTGTGATTGAGAGAGAGATTGCACAGCATGTGTGAGAGCACCTCGGTGTTTATGTAAGTGTGTCCCGTGGAGATTTTTATTCACCTTTGTGTCTGCCCTGAAGAAAAGCCTATCTGCCTGACCACTCTGGGCATCATTTTCTCTTTTGTAAAACAGTGTGATTATTGTAGCTAACTTACCAGGACTCTTCTGAGGACCAGTGAGACAACAGCTGTACCTGGTAAGCAGGGCACAGTATTATTGATGGGGAAACACAGTCTGCCTTTAACCTTCAATAGCTCCCAGTTGCTAGAAAAATCCCGATGACCTCTCATGCCCCTTTCCAGTGGGGGATTTTAGGAATCCAAGTTCAATCTTGCCTGCCTGCAACCTCAAATTCCCTCAGAGGGAGTTGACAAGGATGCACTTCAGGAAGAAGACTGCTGAGGCCCCAGCCCAAGGGCGGGCAGTTCTCAGGGAAGTGCAGCAGGCACGGCAGACTGTGGCCATGTGCCAGCTTCGTCACCCTTCCAGGTCAGCTCCGCTCCCTCTGCCTCCAGGAAGCCTTCTCTGATTGCTCTGTACTGCCCCTTTGCCCTGTTTCGACCTCCCGCAGCTGCTATCTGGGCACCCTCTGCAGGCTGCTGGGCCCCCACAGCATTGTCAGACGTAAGTGAACCCTGCCGCTCCCTAAGGGGAAAGGAAAGGCCCACGAAAAGGAACACAGGTGTTTTTCCCCAATAATGTTTATGGTTATTACAGAATGCTCATGATAAAAACTGAGAACCCTGGTAAGTTTGGAAAGAACAGGTAAAAACATCACCCATGGTTCCCCATTCTATTGACATGCGAATGTTCTTCCTTACCCAGGGGAAGCCCCGGGCGGGAGTGGGGGGAGGTCCACAGGTGACCCCAGAGCTCTCCGAAATGGCTATGCCCCGTGTATCACGGTCACGTGCAAACAGACCCACAGACCAGGAGGCCACACGTACACACCTGACTGCACAAGCATCCTTCGCATACACACGCTCCTTCTCTCACACAGACCCCCTCCTGGCACTTACGTACATACTGCTCACAGACACACGTACGCGCACCCTTCTTTGTACACACACCTCCCACCGGGGCACACACTCATTTACACACCTGTGCTGGCACACAGGAAGACAGCCCGACGGCTTATCGCGGGAGAAATCCAGGGAAGGCGGCAGGACAGGCTCATTTCACGGACGCTCCTGCCACCTACTGGCTGCGCCTGGCACCAGCACCCTTATTTAGTTCCACCCCTTTTCCTGGACTGCCGGCTGTAGGTTCATCCCCCTCCGCAAGCCCCCTCCATATCCCTGGAAGCTGCGGACTGGAACTGGTTCCTGAAAGAGGCCCTTGAAGGAGGCAGGCATTCTGTTGGAAGACACAGGGTGAGTGTGGGCCGGCGGGAAACTACCCCTGGCCACCCATTATGTGTCAGGCACTGCCGTCCTTTACCACTATTACCTCTTTTCTCAATCCCACGTGCCTTATGCAGAGCCTGGCACGTGCAAAGTCATAACAACTATTTCTAGTGAATAATTCAAGACATGAAGGTTTGTTTGTTTGTTTTTCCAGGGGAGGCTGTTTAATGTAAGGTATTTTTAACAAATTAAGGAGATGGAGGCCCAGGGCAAATGACTTGCCCAAAGTCACACAACAACTTCCTCTGTTGCTCTGAAGAGAAAGAAAAGGAAGATAGAGCAAAGCTGAAAATCTTTCCTAAGCTGGAGAGACCCAGCTCAGACCCTGCCCCCAGGGGACCAGGAGAAGTGCCCAGAGGTGGATGAGGTCGACCTGGAGAGATGGTTTCTCTACTCAGGAAGGTTCCCCTACCCTGAGCTATTGCTTCAAATGCATTCATTCAACTAATATTTATTTACCGTGTGGTAGGCTCTGGGCTCAGACTGAGGACGAGCAGCGCACAAACAGAGGAAAGTCTAGTCTCTGCCCTCATTCCGGTGTGGCAGCTCTAAAAGGGCCCCCTCCTTGCTCTCCCACCCCCGGGGCCCCTGGGACCCCTCAGAACTTCTCTTTGTCGGCTGTGCTGAGTGGATGGGGGATCCAGAGTGACACCAGGTGGGAAGGGATGGTTCACCCTAACTGTCCAGTGTTGAGATGGGAGCCTTAGACCTGCAGTCGGGCAGACCTAGGTCTGAATCGAGACTTGGCCATGAACTTGTTGTAGAACCTCAGTCAAATCTCTTACTCTTGCGCCTCGGTTAAAGCAAAGAGCTTGAATGTCAACAGTGGTTCCAACTCAGGGTTCCTTAGAAGGGCTGGTAGAGGCCAAACAGGGGAAGGCCAGGGGGAGGCCAAGCAAATGGGACCCCACATATCCCCTAACTCCCACTGCTTTACTTAGAACAGCTCTGCTTCCCTCTGTTTCCCACTTGGGGCTTCTGTGGCTAAGTGAGTTTGACAATCACTTGGACTAGTTGATCTCTAAGTTATTGTTAGGTCTAAAAGTTTTAAGACTCAGTCCATGTCTTACTTGATCCCCAGATGATGAGCTAGAGGAGGGCTGAGAATAGGTCTGAGTCCTCTCGCTGTCTTCCCACCCCCATCCCACAGGCCTGGCTACAAGAGGAGGGGCTCAGGATGTGTCCACCCGGTGACCACACGTGGGTGACATCAGACTGATGGCACGGCAGGGACTCAGCCAACAGCTCACTACTGACCACACACAGTGCTGGTACTGCCCAAGGAGGTAAGGGCAGGCAGGGAAGGCTGCCTGGGGCTTAGGGGTTGGACATCCATGCCTAGAAAGCAAAGCAGGGTTCAACTGGGTGGAGCAGAGGACCCCTGAGAAGTCCTAGCTGGAGCAACCCAGCTGTTAGGATGTGGCCACAGAGGAGGTGGGGTGAGTGTGGACTCACTTTCAGGTAGAAGCTCTGGAAGATCCTGGTGAAAGGCCTGCCTGGGGCAGTATGGGGATGGGAGGGAGACATGAACCCAGATCCTGCTCTGGCTTCAGAATCCCCAAATCTCCCATGGGGAACCTCATATGGGACCCACTGGGAGGCTTAGGCCTGAGTCAAGACGCCCTAGAGGGATCCCGACTTTGGGTTCACAAGGTCATATATTTCTGTAAAATTTGCAAAAGTAAAATATATTAACTTGCACTGGCTGAGATCTTTCCACCCTGACTTCCCTTCCTTCCCACCTGTGTCCTACAGCCTTGAATGGCTACAGGCATTTTCTATTCTTAACCTTTCATTCTTTTTTTTTCCCTAAGTAGGCTCCACGCCCAATGTGGGGCTTGAACTCACAACCCTGAGTTCAAGAGTTGCATGCTCTACTGACTGAGTCAGCCAGGTGCCCTTTCATTCTTTTTCTTAAAGAGGGCCCCAGATAAGCTTCAGGCTCCACAATCCTGGATCCACAGGGGTTCTCCATTTTCCCAGTTGCAAAGAAAGCAAAGGCTGTGGAAGGTCTCCATAGGAGTAAAGATGATCTCCCTGAGTCTTCCTGAAGGCACTGAGAATTGAGGAGCAAAGAGGAGAGACTTGTCTAGGGTCTCACGATCCAGGAGAGTCCCACCTGAGCGCCCCCTGTTTCGAGAACCCCCCTACTGACCCTGTGCCACCCAGAGCGGCCACCCTCTCAGTAGGCCCGGGAGAGTGGGGCTCTGTGCCTCCACCCCAGTGGCTCTAAGACCACGAGGTGGCAGCAGACACCGTGTTTCCTTCTCCCCGGAGGCCGTTCCACCACAGCTCCCCGGGCCCACAGAGCCAGAATTTCAGCAGGTCCCAAACGCCTCCTTCAGCTCTTTCCTGCCATCTCAGGAAACAGGGAGTCCTGGCCTGGCCACTTATTGGCTGTGTGCTCGTGAGCGAACACTTCACCTCTCGAAGCTTCGTTTCACTCCACCATATACTAGGGATATCTTGTGGGAACAGGTTAGTGAAGCACCT